CAGTGCAGACGATTTTGACCTTGCATCAAGGGTACCCGCGGATTTGTGGAGCAAATGTTGGTGAAAACGGTAACGTGACCATGCAGTTTTAGAGTAGATTTTTCTAGACCGTGTTTTTTAACCATGTCTTTTGTTTTAAATTCGGTGAGCAATACTACATGATGGCTTTCACAAAATTATCTTGCTAATCTTCGATGACATTTATCCACACTTAAGATTACGAATTTCTTGTGAATCTGGAGCATTCATCGACAGAGCATACGCTACGCCTACTTGCTTTGACATGAATAGAATCCCTTTCTTTTCACCTTGGATTCTATCACAATGCAAGCACAAGCGATGTATTCTATTAATATCCCCCTTTTCCCATTCTATAACTTCACCACCACTTGGATTATAGCCAGTCAGAGAAATGATGCCAGTGCCTCTATTTTCTTCGACCACCGAAAATTTAGAAATTTGGCTATCAGCCTTAGTTTCGAGTGGTTTAGAGGTACAAAATAGAATTCACCAAGACGATTCATGATGAGACATGGAGGTCATAATTTATTTCAAGAATTTCTTCTCTTGCTTCAATATCCGAGAAATGAATAATGACCACGATTTTTTCTGATAGAATGGTGATTGACTGCAATTTATCCTTTTTAAAGCAATTTAAAAGGTCAATCATTTCTTGCACCCCTAATACCAATACTAATGTCAAGAACCCTATCAAAGACTAATTTCTTTAATTTTTCAGCGATACAATTTTCACGTAAACAATTTTTTTATTTTTTTATATTATGATTAATTGCAGCTAGGCATCGGTTGTACGTTAATATTTTGCTTTTTCTTCCGAATTAGGGTAAAAGCCTAATTTTAAGAGTTTTCCCGGTGGAAGTTTTTTGGAAAGGAGATCAAAGACGAAGGAACAACATCCTCGACTTTAAAAGAAGATGAAAAAGAATCACATCTTTAAAATTCTTTCATGTTCCATCTGGTAAAAAAAAAAGACTATTTAAACCTTTAGCTGTTGGTTTAGCTGACTCAATTGTAATCCATGAACCAAGAGCTAGTCTTTTTAAAGAGTCCTTCCATTGACTTGAGCACGGTAATTCGCTATTAGTTTTTAAGGGTAACCAACACCAATTGGTGAGTTTTTGAATAAATTCATCCCAGAATGGCTTATATCTTCTTACATTCGAAGAAGTTGGTTTGTCACAGTCAACTAAAGAAGATTTTTAATAAAAAATAAAATTTTGTAAAATATTCAATTTTTTTTAAAAAAATTGAATATGGCAAATATCATAAATAGACGTTTATTTAATAGATCGTAAAATGGCAATCTGCACTTGACGATCTTCACAAAACACGTGACAATAAAATCTTTTGATTCTCAAAAACTGACGTTGTGGCACAGAAAGCTGTGAGGGCCAAGTGTCTTCATTATAGTAGAATATATTGAATACCAGTTTTAATTGTTGAGGGTCTTTTGTGGTTCGTTTTTATTATTGTTATTAAATTTTGAACCTTTTATTTGTTTGCCTCCTCCTCTCTTTGGTATGGTGGGTGGTTGTTGTTGCAGTTAATCGAAATAATTTTTATTTTTTTAATGTTTCTTTCTTTTGATTCATATTTCATCATTTCGATTATTACACAACCACATAAATTAATGCAAATGATCCAAATAAAAATTATTGAAGATAATTTATGGGAAAGTTTAGTATGTGTCAATCAGTCACTCTTTATGAAATGATTATTATTTATTTTTATTATATTTATGAGGATATACATTTAGGACCATAGAAATATTATCCTATACTTATCAAGTGCTGGTAGGAATTCAAATATAAATGATGATCATCATATGTATTTCAACTGTTTTGATAGTGAATCTTCACACACCCATCACCTTTTCAAGGCCCGAATGAATATTGTCGGATGTCAAGTTAAACTGATTTTATCAAGCATATTAAAGATTTTGTTTGATAATGGAACATCCTAATATGAAATCGATATGAAATTTGTAATAAGAACAAGCTTGGTCTGAGAAATGGAAAGACAATTGAAAAGGATTTATATGATGAATTTGTGCGAGTTAAAGATAGATACAGAGTTATAAAAACATCAAGATAGAAAACGTTGAATGTTAATATATATATATATGAATGTATGCATACACATACATGTAGAAGATATATTCATTGAATTTTTGAATTTTGTTGTTAATTCTAGCAAATAGCAATATATTTTTAATATTATAGATATATTTAAATTTAACTTTTCACTGTAATAAATAATTCAATCAATCAATCATTCAATTATCAATGCTGCTGAATCTTCGATAAATTCTTATGGCAATATCATAAAATGATTTTTCTTTCTCTGGATCGAAATTTGTTGCAATTGTTGATTCTTTACTGCTTAAAGAAAAAAAATAATGATATTTGTTTTTAAAATAATAGTAACGTTGATAATAATAATAATAAAAGCTATTTATTTAAAAGCATTTTTTACCCTATTTCAACATTCTCGTCATATTTAGAAAGAATAATTTGAGAAGGTCTTCTTAATGCACTAATACTGTATGGTCTATCATTTATATGATGATGACCTGTGTACGAAGATGAAGATGTTCTGGATCTTAAAGTTGAATCGATTTGTGATTGGTGTGAACTTGCAAATGTACTATTATTGTATAGAATTTTATTCCTGGAGGGTGTTGTATCAGCTAATAACGAAAAATCTTCTGGTGAACTTGGAGTTCTAATTATGTTCTTGGACATCTCACGCTGTTCCTATTCATTAGTTTTTATCGTTAATAACTATTATATATAAATAATAATATAAATATTTTTCTTATTATTACCGATATTAAATCATTATCAATTTTATTAGATGATCCTTGTTGTTGTGATTCATAACTATTCTTTTTTGGAAAATTACCTAAATCTGCCAGTAATTCTAAGAATAATAATAATAACAATGATTACTTTTAATCTACAGTACAACTACAATAATTAAGGAATAAATAAAAAACCTTCAGGCTTAAATGAATAAGGATATGGTGCTGGAATATTTCCTACGCCAAATTCCCATTCTGATATTGGTGGTGATATTAAATTTTTCGGTTTTTTGAATGCATCATAAATAGTTTCTTTTGAAGACATTTTATAAATGAAGGCAATAATAATAATAATAGTGTATTTTTTGTTTCACAAAAGATTTCTCCCGATTCACGTCAATTATCTACCCGTGCAACCTAAAAATTGATGCCAACCAACTTGTTTGTTGTACTTGGTCATCACCATCACCTTCGTTCAAAAGATCAACCGGCGTAAGTTTTAATTTCCTTATGTTTTTTCAGAAATGATTATATGGAATGACTTTGATTGGTTCTCCCATTATACTGACATGTCGTTATAACAGAATAAATTCTATAATTCTAAAAAAAGTTGACAAATTATGTCATTATATATACTTGTATAACGAGATAAATAATAGGTGTCATTTAATTTCGTTGTTTGGCAAAACAATTACCATCCCATGTATAATCATAACAGAAAATGTTATTATTATTGTTAACAAATCATGTGTAGATGTTAAAATTTACTTAATTTATTCGAGATAATCAATTAAATATCTTCTACATTTACGACTGCCTTTATGCCTCAAGGACTAAATTAGCTAACTTAAAAAAGCGAGTCAATCATACAGCATCCATGTATAAATAACGTTTTTTATTAGTATGTACTTTCCAATATGTAATAAATAAATAAAAATAATACATTTATGACTACCTTTTATGTCTTGAGTCAATTAAGGTTTCTGGTCCAAACTGTTTTCTCAAAGCCCAAACTAGTTTGGGCAATTTGGGCTTCTCAACATTTTCTATAAGCATGAACATTAAAAAACTATATGAATCAACTTGTTTTAACTTAAACAACTTTAAAATAATTTCGCCCAATTTCGGCTAATAACAAAAAGTAGTTTGGGCTTATAAAAAAAATAATTTTTGCCCAATGTATTTGGGCAATTTCGGCTACTAATAGAAGCAGTTTCGACCAGAAACCTTAGAGTCAATCATACAGCATTCATGTATAAATAACATTTTTATTGGTGTACTTATTATTATCCAATACCAGTATGTAATAAATAATATGTATGTATGTATTGCTCTAGCACGATTTCCTTTATGTTTAAAGAAATAAATGAAAAAGAATAAGAAGTGCAATTGAATCATTAATTTTTGTGCACCTTGGTAAAAATATGTATATTTTTTGAAATTTTTACCTCTTATTTAGATCTTGCAATCTGCTGGATTAACTGGATTATTTTTAACAAAGCAAGGCTTTCAAAGGAAGGCATGTTCTTGCAAAACATTCTTTGTTGTTATAATGTATGTTACTTATGACCAGTTTTTTCTATTTTAAGTTAATTGAAATTGAACTGTTACTAAAGTTGGTGTCTGTAACTGTTTTCACATTTTCTGCAACTGCAGGGTTTTAAAGCTCGAGTTACAACATTCTCTGCAACCTCTGAAACTGCCTGCAACCTCTGCAACTATAATAATTATGATGATTTAGTATCAAAAATGAATCACATGACTGCAAAATGGGATTTATTGTTTTTAAATAAAATCATTAATTAAAAAAATTTTTTTAATAAAAATAAATTTAGTTTTATAGTGATTGAAGTAGCTGACCAACCAGAGGTTGCAGACAGTTGCAGACAGTTGCAGACAGTTGCAGCAGTTGCAGCATTAGATGTCAATATTTCTTTGGGTTGCAACTCCCTAGTTGCAGAGCCATCTTTAATTGAAGTAGCTGACCAACCAGAGGTTGCAGACAGTTGCAGACAGTTGCAACAGTTGCAGCATTAGATGTCAATATTTTTTTGGGTTGCAACTCCCTAGTTGCAGAGCCATCTTTAACTGGCTGACTGTTTTTTCATTTCATCCAATATAAGTTCTTGCACCTCCCAATATTTATATATAGTGCACATCTAAATTAAAAGGAAGTTTAACAATATTGACTTGGAAATGATTTCTTCAAGGCAAGTAAATCTTTTACCTCTTCAATAGCTTTTATGGTTTCAAGAATAATGCCTTCAAAATGCAATGGTGTGAAATTGAATTGACCATACACCTTGGTTTTAAGATCATCCCATTCTTCACCACAAAGAATGTATATATTCCATTTTCAAATTCAGATGTTAGATCTACAATGCATGACAACCCAAGGCTGTAATTAAGATTGTCAGTAATTTGGTTTCTTAGTACTTGTTTTAGAAGCCTCCACTGTCTTCATTGTTCCTTCTGCAAGAATTTCTGTAACCAACTTTCCATTTTTTTTAATTTCCATTCTGTCTCTTTTTTGGAAATTGTATTAAATACTGATTAATAAGAATTTACATCAAATATATCATAATCACTACTATTTTCTCCCCCTTCATCTCCATCTTCATCTTCATCTGAGTTATTGAGATCTAGAAATTTCATTATAAGATTCTGGGAGAAAATTAATGAGTTACTTACCGTCTAGACTTTGTCATTTTTTAAGTATATATACACTTTCATACATGAGGTGGTGTCACATTACTAAAATTGATTTGATCCATTGAGTTTTTTATGCTATATAGATTAAATTGCAAAGAATGTGTAAATTACATTCATACAACAATTCATTTGGTTTACAAAACTGTGTATTACCTTCATAGGATGTTCAATTGATTTTTCCGAATGTCATGCCTCCTTTTCCCAATTAATTAATTTAGAATGGGTTGTTTCTTCCTCAGATTTTCCAATGATATAATCAAACTGGTATAAATATTTAAATTTAATTAATCCACACAATAAACATTTATAACAATAAACATAATTCAAAAAAATTCACATCAGAAATTGCCATTTGCAATTTTGTTCATCTAATATTTTGGATTCATTTCAGAATTGTTCTACAGCAACAGAATCTTTATCATTCTTAAAAAATAATTCAATGAAATTGGCTTCCTTAATTAGTTGCATTATATGCTTGGCTACTGTGACAAACTGAACAAAGCTCAAGGCTTATCACTTAGTCTGGCACAAAAGACCAACCAAATGTGTCCAGCAATAGATTGAGGCATCCTACCAAGACCCCTTCATGAAATGAAAGTGATCAAGGCTTGTCAACAGCACTGTTGATGAACTGAACAAAGCTCAAGGCCTATCACTTGTTCTAGCACAAAAGACCAACAAAATGTGTCCAGCAATAGTCTGAGGCATCTTACCAAGACCCCTTCATGAAATGAGAGTGATCAAGGCTCATCAACAGATTTCAAACATGTTTCATATCATAATAAGCATCTTCTAGATACCATGTTCAACTTCCTTGTTAAAAATATTTGAATGACATGACCTCCACCTCAAGAAGCTTATAAGTGACCATTCCGATTCTTCCTCCTCCTTGAAATATGTTTTCTTTTCAACAATTGGCTAATAATGGAAGTTTTCATGTTTAGTAACAAAAAATAAACAATCAGCATGATACAACACTTAACACATAAAACTAAATACTCATGTTATTATCCATTATAACTATAGATGTCGAAATATTATGCAATATATAATAAAAGAAATTTCAAAATATTTTATTATTATTATTATTATTACAAACACGTTATTAGTATGATTGGCAAAACATTTGTTTTGTACAACAGGATTCAAGAAGAAACTTCAATGCAATCTTGCATTTTAAACATAACTTTCTATTTGCAACATTTTTTAATTTGATATGGAGAAATCAAAACAACAAGAACAGTTAACAGCATGTAAATAAACAATAAATAAAATTTGCTGTATAAGTAGTGTGTGTTACAAGAATAAGGGAATCGAGTGACTTCGTTATATGTACAGTTTTTTATTTATTATGTTATTTAACACTTATAAAAGATTGCTCAAAACCCATAACACTGCTTTTTCCTTAATTGGGATAGATTGTATGATTTTGGTTTTGATCTACTATTTTTTTTTTTTGTAAATTAAATTTGTTGTTTGCCTATTTGACATAAAAAACAAAATACAGTCAAACCTCGTCACAGCGGACCTTGTCACAGCGGATTTCTTGTTACAACGGATTTAAATTTTGTCCCCTTTTTTTACTAATTAAAAATATTTGTCACAGCGGATTTTATTAATAAATTCGTGCCAGTGTTAACGGATTTTTGATTGGGATACCTTCTATATGACTACTAATCTTACCACAGCGGATTCACGTGACATAGAAATTTATAAATTTATCCGAATTACTAAAATAGGCAACAAAAAAATTTTTTTTAATTACGGATTTAATTAAATACAAATACAAAACAATAAACGGATTATTTGATCAAGTAACAAAATTTTCCAATTTCTAAAATAATTTATCAAATGCTTGCGATTAACAATATTTTTCAAGTTTCTAAATAATTGATCAAACTTCTGCAAGTAACAAACAATTAAATGAATTATTTGTTCAAACGTTTACAAGTAACAAAATTTTCCAAGTTTCTAAAATAATTTATCGAATTAAATAGATTGTATGTTCAAATATTTGCGAGTAACAAAATCCCAAGTTTCCAAATAAATAACTGAAAGTTTTTAGGCAATAAAACGAACAGGATTTATTATCCTTCTCCAAAGATCAAAATTTCAAAATGTATAAATTAAGATAAAAATTTTGTTTATTAATTTTACAACTATAATCGAAAAAAAAAATAATGAAAAATTAATACAATCAAATATTTCATCTTATTTCAAAAAATAGATTTTTAATTCCTGCATATATTAGTATCATGTGTTTTTAGTTTATTATTAATTACTATTGTAATCATTGTTATCATTATTATTATTATTGTCTTACTATTAAAAATTTTTTTTGTCGATCATGTCATAGTGGATTTCTTGTCACAACGGATTTTTTTGGCTGGTCCCATCAATCCGCTGTGACGAGGTTTGACTGTATAACATAATAATAATAATAATATCATTGTCAACTCATAAATTCATCAATGCAACATTGTTTTGCTTCTTGGGTGCTTCTATAAGAAATTTTCTCTTTTTAACTTCAATATATTTATATATTTTTAATTATTTGAGGATCAACTTCTAAATATTTTTGTTGTATATATTTAAGCGCATTTTCAACCATTTATAGCTTCTGTATTTGTTACAATTGGCTCGCTTATCTTATCAACACCCTCATTATCTTCAACTTCAGATTGCCCCAACACTATGTTTACAATTTCTTGTTCCGTCATTTCATAATAAATTCATCAACATTTAAAGAAATAAAAAAAATGACATTATATACAAGTGTCATTGCCAAGAAATAGTTAACAATATGTTCAATTAAAATGTTGTTAATATTTAATATTAATAATACATCATTACTATTACGCTTATTTATTATACGCTTATTATAATAAAATTAGGCTATCCAAAAAAGGCAAAAATCATCATTATCGTAATATCGAGAGAATTTTATTATAAGTGACATATTAATATATGGATTTTTAAAAAAATATCCACTAAATCGAATATATTAATATATGAAAATCCGTTAAATCCGTTAAATCGAGATAAAATAATTATTATTATCCGTTAAACCCCTAAATCCGCTAAATCGAGGTCCGTTAAATCGAGATCCACTGTGTAATATTATTTGAATTGGTGTAACTAATAAAAATATTGGGGTTGTGGATCAATTTAAATTTTATTTAAAAAACTCTTTGTTACTCAATTACTCATTTTTTTATTTAGAGAACATGGTTTGAAAATTTTTCCAGTTATAGTTTCAATGTTACAGATTGATGTTATGTAAAAAAGTCAATTTTGGTAAAACTGGTTTTTTCTAGAAATTCCCCCATATTATTTTAGTGTGTTAGAAATTTTTATAGAAAACCCCTAGAAAATTCTGATACTATATAAGGTGGGATCACCACACATCCATTTATGGTATAATCCCAGACTGTAATATGTTTGAAATTTGTGGTGTAGTCACTTTTTTGAAAAATAAGAAAGAATTATCTTAGCCCTGCCAATCTTATATGTATCTATCTATAAAAAATTACCTGATTGATAAATGATTTGCAATCATCTAATGTATCTAAATGCATTTTGCTCTCAATTTGTTTTTAATTAAATTTGTTTGAGAAAATATTCTTTCTACATGAGCATTAGAAAGAGGTATAAAGAAGCACCATTCTAACAACTAATAATATATTTAGAATTCATTTCTCTATTATTATTTTTATGGTGCTGGAGAAAAAGTTTTGTTGAATTCCATTCTTATTAAGTTCCTCTTTGTCAATGATTCCACTAAATTATCTCCATTTATATCAAATTTAATTTCTCCATAGAAATTACCTATAATTGCATATGTGTGACAAATTTTTATTTTAATTACAGTCCACTTTCTCTATAATGGATCTTTTTATACCAGATTTTTTTCCCAACTTTTTACTATTTGAAATCTCCCTCTATTATGGATATTATTAATTAATGTTGTATATGTATATTGGATTGCATCTGAAACCATTTCATATGACCTATATATAAATCAACACTGTCTATAACAGATTCACATGATAGGGTATCATTCATATGTTGTTAATTAAAGATTGAAATGCATTTATAGATAGCAATTGTTGTATCAATTGTTGTTTATATACAATAAAATATTAGGACCAAGTATTGAAGTTTTTTGAAACAAATCTAATGCCAATGATTCAACTTTATACATAAATTCCATAAACCTTTTAAATAGCATTTTGAAATTTTGTTTTCTAATATGGGGCATGCTGCAACAAAACCAGACAAAGTGAACATTGATGTTACCAAGAATTTCAGGGATCAAGATTTAGTCATTTGTATAGTTGTTTGCCGTATCCTGTAATCAGTGTTGGTATTTGGCCATTGGCCTATTTTTGACCAAAATGGCCAAAAATAAATGTACAAATCACGTGAACATTTTTACCCAAATAAGTTTTATTCAACATTAAAATATATGTAAGTTCTTAATGCAATTTTAAATGAAAAAATGGAACTTCCAGACCATCAACAAAAATATCTCTTATTTCCCACTTTGCTGTGTTGTCTAATGCAGGATGTGTTTGATCCAATAATAAATAAATCATTCCATTGATCAAAAAAAAAAAGATTTAATGTTTTGTGACAAATTTTCTTAGAATTACTTCGCTCAGAGATTCCACTGTTTGAACTATCTGATCCAAAAATTGATCATACACTCCAGGATGCATAGCTTTGAATTTTGAACATTTTTTTAAATGTGTAATAATTCTTTCCCTTTTATAACAGATTCAAAAATGATGATTAATACAAAGAAAATCTACATCTTTAAGGCTTTCTAAAGAATGTTTTTTCATATTGATAGGCGTTCTCTATGTAAAGTTAACCCTATTTGAAAACAGTGTCACTTTTTGCTTCAGAGCTGAGATTATTTTTCAGCTTTATGTTGAGTGCCTTGAAAAGTGGATGAAAAGATGTAGATATTTTGTGCTTTCATATGAGTATTATTTTATGGGGGTTATTTATTATTAAAGTTTAGAGGAAATAGCAAAAAACTGGAAAAAAAAACAAGACGAATTGAATTTAGTAAAAACAGAAACTAATAACTTTTAAATTGTCACGAGTTTTATTAAAAGAAGCATATAAAAATATTTTATTTGGAACTCTTTATAACAAAGGTTGATTTAAATCCAGTATCTATTGCTATAATAATATAAATAATTATTAATGTGTTATCACATAAAGATTGTATACATTGATTGAAATCTGCAATATTTTTTGAAATTTTTCCATCTATCTATTATTAAAATGTAATCATAAATTATTAATTGTGTTAGCAATATTTTTTGAAATTTCCATCTATCAAGTTCTCGAATTAGTATTATTAAAATTTAATCGTATATTTTGGGAAGAGAGACTTTCGTCTTCGCTCTCGACACAAATCGCATTAATGCCTGCACGATGTTGTTCTTTGCATGGGGTGAGCGAATGCATCGGAAGTCTCCCATGGAGAGGTCTATAATTTTCTTCAAACATATTGGCGAGGTTTTCTTCATGTAATTTTTTGATTGATTCGATTGTATCTAACAAGCAGAGCTATGCAGATAAAATCCATTAACAAACAATACTTATATGAATGTGACTGAATCAAATGAAACAACAAAGGTGATTACCTTTAAATCCCATAATAATTTAATAAAATTAAAAAAATATATTTGTTGATTATCCCAATCGATGGGAACAACGACTTTATGAGTTCTTTCGAATATTAAGACACCAGATGCGGGGTTAGACATTCTCCAAAGTTCCAAATGATTGTCTATAGATTGTGTAAACAATTAAATATCAAGAAATGACACAATAAAGTATTTAATTAAAAGGTAATTTACCAAGTCCATGCAAGAAGACACTTGAATCTTTGAAAAAGTCCTGTAGGAAGCCTTTTTGTAACAGTATGAAAGGTCTCCTAACATATAAATATTTCCGACTGCACCTTTAAGATGATCCCAGGTGGATCGTGGTTTATCTATACAACCATAACCACCACTAATTTCAACATGACCAATTTCAATATAATGATTTTTCAAACACATCAAGAAAACACCGTCCGATTTTTGTTCGTAATCACTTTCCTTTTTCCTTTTACGATAAGATTCGATTGATGATAATGCTATCTCTCCCCTTATATAAGAAAGAAAGTCAATATTATTAATTTATGCTACATAAAGACAATAACTAAAATAGCACTTACGGTTTATATATCAAATCATCTTGTAGTCCAGATAAAAGCTTCATTAAACAAATATTAATTACGTACAATTTGTACGAACTCTCGGATATATTTCCACGTTGTATTATGGTGTTATTGGGATAAACAAACTCAAATCTATAAATGGTTAAAAATTGAGAATTAATTACAGCAAAAATAGGCAAAGATAGTAAGTAGTTCAAGTAAGTTTTCTACTTACAAATATTTTAAAATTCTTATCGAAAAGGTAGTGAGTGGATCTTTGAGTTCTTGATTAATATTTACCAATTTATTATTATCCAACTTGTTTTTATGGTCCTGTGAACAAAAAATAATTAGATTTAGGAATGTCTCAATTCTAATAACAAAAAGAAAATGTTCAAAGCAATACCAGCTTAACGATTTCCTTTAATGTTCTTGAAGGAGAAATATATGGTGCCTTTTTTTTACAGATTTGCTGGATTTCATTATAATCAGCTTCTGCACACCATTTGGGTCTAGAAATGTTTAATCCACATCTAATTACTCCCCAATTCTCCAACCTAGTGTATTGTATAATATTAAAAAAGGCATATTTTTGAATATTTAGTTCAGATGTTTGATTTACTGTACCTTCTCAATATAAAGCATTTTGGGAATGATTCAATTTACCTCATTACGTGTCCACTGAGATTTGTCGCTTCTTTTAATAATCTCTTGATGGTGATTCCAGATTGTAACTTCCAATTATTCCTATTTATTAATGTATTGGCATTCTCATCGTTATTATTGTTGTTGTTTGAGCTTTCGTCAACTGATTTGAAAATAAATATGGATTAATTATAAAGTAAACTAGAATGACGTTCAAATCAATAATCACCACCCTCATTCTTTCTTAAATAACTAGATATAGTTGCAAACCCACCTTCACCTATCTTTTCACTCTCCAACAATACTTACCCACAGGATTCTTTGATTTTCGTTTCTTCTTTCCTTTTTCTTCTGCTACTAAAAATTTTTTTTAAAAAAATTAGAATGATGACAAGTTGCAAGTACCACCACCATCCTAATAATAATAGCATTTACCTAGGCTAGCGATATCTTCACGAAAATTTTCAGTTTTTCTTTTTTTAACAAATGATTTGGAAAATTTTTAAGCAATATATCATTTAAATTATGTTTTAAGAAGAAAATGAATAATATGGAATACAAAAAAAAAATTTATTTTAACAAGCTAGAAATGACGATATTCATTTTTAAAAATAACTAGAGTAACGACGACAGGTGGCGGGCGATAACCACCACCACCATCCTTAAAAAACACTTACCCAGCGATATCTTTTTCTTCTAGTTGTTGTTTTCTTTTCTTGTTGTCGTGTTGTCGTGGCATCAATAAAAATTTTTAAAAAGAAGTTTATGATTTGATCGACGCATACACATTGATTATTTATCCTATTGGTTTTTTTTTTGGTAGGACAGACGCGAATTGATTTTTTTCTTGGAAAAACAATTTATTTTTTGACGGTGTCCAAGGTGACAAAACATGAGTGTTGTTGTTTGGTTTGGTTTGGGTCTCCTAAAGAAGACGTTTTAATAACTAACCAGAGGTACTATTTTTTACTTGAATTGATATATATATTTGTTGTCTTTATTGGTTATAATAAATATTTTAATTGGAAATCAAAACGCGGGGCAGATCTTGCTGGATAATTACAAGATTTTCATTGATAATATTTTGTTTTTCGTGACCATTAATAATATTATCATAAATATTATATATATTACTATACAAGAAATCAAGGCAGCACATTGTTGAAAAAGAGACATTTCGAATATGCAATGTTTGATTACAGGAAATTTACAGGCATTGAAGCTGCCTTGAACACATTACAGTCATTCACCTGTTCCTTGTGTACATAAGGCTAATCTGACTAGTGTCATCCGATGATACAATGATGCAACAGAACTCCAGGGGGGTGTGGACATGTCCTGGAGTTTACCAAGACTGCACCAATCGTCAATGATGCTTTTCACTAATCTCCCCAGACCAGAGATGGCCGCTGGCATGCTAGCCGAAAAGTTGTCTGCAATGATCCCACCTCTAGGGTAAGGATGGCACTGTAACCAAGTTGCAACTCTGCAGATGAATATTAGTGCCATGTAAATATCCAGATCCATCAAAGCAATGAGAATCTGCAGCTTGTTTCAAGCACAGGAGGTCGCAATTCAGAGCAGGGTTGGTGGCCCTGAAATTGCATTTGGACTGATGTTAAGAGGGAAGTTGTAAAATAGCGTTTGTTTTGTATAATCACTTTCCTAAATTCTCTGTTTTTCTGATATTAACCAATTTATGATTTTGGGTAGGGCTTTTGCCCAATCATTCCTCTGTCTTGTGGGTTAAAATTATATATACTGTATCTTTGTCAGTAATATGGCCAACATGAAAAAAGTCATAAAATGGTTCGGATTTTGTTTGGTATGTTTTGTATAAATTAATCATTTTCCCAAATTTTTTGCTTCTCTTTAATCTTTATCTGACCAACTGAACTTGTTATTTAAATAAATGGAAGGTAGGGTTATTGGCAAGCAGGCATGCCACTGACAAGACAGGAGACGCCTTTGGGATGTACCAGCCAAACTCATAGAAAGGGATCTTTTGTCCAGACTTAGGGTCACATGGATGTTAAGCACAGAAAATGTACAC